AAAGCTTCGTTTGGCAATCGTGGTTGCAGGTCAAGATAGCCGCGAACTTTTTAGTGTCCTCGTCCTCGCAGATCACGATGTCTAGTGTTGCGTTAGCCTCAGCGTCGAGAAATGAGACTGGACTCTATTCTTGCCATAGAACCTGCCTCTCTCGCTACCGTAAAGAAGGCGACAATTGCCGAGGCAAACTTCCTTGAGGTTTTGGACCTTGTCGAGCTGACGTTGTTAGCCAATTTGAATGCTGTGTCGAACAACTTAAATACCTTTTCGGTGCTCTCCAACCATGACTCTTCGGTGATGTTCATCGCTGATGTCTGACGTACTAGCTCGCCATCTTCTATATCATTGTGCGAATGCATGGGGACGGGCATGATGATCACTCCGATGTTGGCACCGGGATGATAGAGCTATTGTTGAAAAGATTTCGATAGGTTGAGGCCGAAGACTGTCGTAAAGGAGCGTCGACGGTTCGTCCAAGTCGAAGGTGGAAGGCCGAAGGTCAAATGCTGCGTGGGGTGTTGATAGGGAGTTGGTGATAGTGAGATGGTCAAGAGTGAGAGGAAGAAGCGAATTGAAGGTTTATATGGCCGAATGGTGTCAGCAGCTCATGCCCAATACACGCTGTCAAACAGGTAAAGGCGCTACTCTCCGCGGCATCTCAGGGTAAGAGAGCGGCATGAGGTCCAACGGCAAGACACCTGACCACGGTGAGTTCACGAGCTCGACCTTGGGCACGCGGGGTAGACGCTTACCACTGACTCGGGTGTTCATACGGTAGACTGACGGCCTCTATGGGGAACGGTGTTGAAGCGCTTCCAAAAGCGGCTTGCCAGGACAAATAGCGTTTGCAGAGGTGTCGAAGACCCATCGCTGGTACGACCCTGATGTAACGCCGCAACAAGGTGCCGCCAATCAGCGAGAAGTCGTAAAACCTCTTTGCTCATTGTTGGATCTTTCCCCTGCGTCCCTTGAAGAGTCGTTTGTGGTGACATGAGTAGTCGATGGCACGCATTTGTACATCGACGTGATTGCAAGGCAAACGAGCTGACGACGATTTTATACTTGATGCAATTGGCTTGTGCGATAGAGGGCGACGCTGTTCCTACATTCCTGCTCGTGAACCCAGGCTTGTTCATCAAGCCCTTCAAATTCACGTCTTCAAAGTGAACTCTTCTTCCTCAAGTTCCCTGAACTCAGCGAATGTCCCGGTCTGTTTTCCTTCAAATGACCATCCATAGCCTACTGCCGCTCTTTTTCCTGCCTTACTGTTAGTTTCGCTGAGAACCTTCGTTACTACTTATCTGGCATCTTACTGGTTGAACACGATACCAATACTCCTAGAAGAGTTGCCAGTTTCTCAACTGCATCCTCGACGTTCTGTCCCAGACATGCTCTCAAGACGTCCCCCTTGTCTCGACGGCCGTCTAGTTGGACTTCGTAGCGTACAAGACGAGCTTCCGCGAAAGTATGATCGCGATGTATGCAGTCTATCCCCGTACGTGTGTGGTACTGGAATTTGTGGAGCCGTCGGTCTTTACGTCCAGGAACGATATTCGTAAGAACAGAGTAATAGGCATCGCCCCAGAGGTAGTGGCCACGTTCTTTGATCTGCTCGTACAACGGCATGACTGCGCTGGGACCAAGCTGAGAACCCGGTGTCGGCATGAGAGAAGAAGAGGTACTCTGCGCGGAACTTGTGTCGAACTGAACTGGTTGCGAAAGGCTTGATGCCTGCGTGGTTGCAGGCTGAGCGAAAGTGCCCCTGGCGTCGCTAGTAGGACCAGTGTTGGTAGAGCTGCTTGCATCTTATCAGCGACAGTCAGCAACCTTCACTACGCAGACACTATATATCCGCGGCTCCTGGATAGAGCGCGCACTCGGTTTAGGGACTTCTCTCAAGGATCTTTCGATCGTGTTCGTAGCAGAAGTATTTGATCCGGAGGGCTTGCTCACCTGGACGCAGTGGAGAACTCGTGTCTTTGCTTTTGCCGAACAGGTTTTTGAGGACAAATTTGATCGAAGGTGTGCTATTACGAGCCATCGTAGCCGTATGTACAGCTTTGTCCTTTGGATGCTAGTCCTGTAGGTATATTGGCCACATGCGTCGATGAAGGCGTACTAATTAACGATGTTGACGATACTGACGAACGGATGTACCCTGGATAGCGGTAATGACATGCGATGTTGACAGATATGTGTTCATTGTGAGAAGTCGTGCCTTCGCACGAGCTCGCGATTTTGTTCTAGATGGAAGCGACGGTGCAAACACCTGGGTAGTCTTGCAAAGTCGGATAGGCGCGTACGAGCATTTGGCAGTAACACTCTTATGAACGCTCTGCACACAGCGGTGAACAGTAGGAGATTGAACAGCATGGCTCCTTGGTAAAGACGAACTGTTATCTTCAGGGCAGTGTGTGAATTATCAGGAGAACACCGCACCTGTTGGCGAAGCAAGACACTGGGCTTGTTCAAAACATCCATGGATACATGTCGATTTGCGTCGCATGCCTGTCAGGCTCAATGTAGATGTGACATGCTATTTGCTGCAAGGTCAATCGAATGAAGCTCTGATGGGCATTTACGAAGAGCAAAGATTCGAAGAGATAGATGTTGCAATGCGAGGTGGAAAGCCAAGAGGTTGTGCAGATGCGATTAGAAAATGAATGACGTTGCCTGCGCACAGACACAATCTCGCAGCCGGCGCAATGAGCATGCAGACTTGCTCACATACCGTCAGCCAGCAAGTTCGGGCCATGTACACTGCCTGCAATGCTGTAGAGACATAACCGATTCTATATACCATCTACACGATCACCACGCCCTATCCGCAAGACACGACGCACCGAACCGTCGAATCGTCCCCAACCCGCATAACACCCGCGACGCGCTTTGCACGAGCAATGACGAACAGAGGCGCCCTTCGGTGTGGGGTCGTACAGACGCTCCCTATAAACACCCTCTACGAAAGAAGATGAATCGAACAAGAATGCGCATGGCTACGTTCTCTGGCGCCTCAATATCCGGGGGCACTGTGTTGACTTGACGGAGGACCTTCGACTCGACCCCTCGGGACAGGACTATCTATGCGTATCGATCTATCACCAGTATCTTCAATATGGGACGGGTCCGACAAGACTCTTCGGCCCACCGGCGGTGTAGGCGCGGTCAACCTGATATGTGGTGTCGGAAGGGATACAACCCGACTATCTCTTTGCCGGGACGGCCGTAATCCTTCAGTCTGCCTAGGTGTGGCTGCCACAACTCTGCTAGGCTGTGAGTAGGGAACACTGCCATATTGTGCCGCGGACTGGGTGTTTTGCATATAGGACTGCGTCCTGTAAGCATCTGGCGGAGCGTATGGCGCATACCTGGTCACCGGGGGAGAACCTAGAGCTAGCTCGCTCGGCGGTGGCGATCTTATACCGAGCTCACTCCTCTGTAAGAGCAGAGAGAGGTCGCTTTGTGGTGGGGACACAAGAGCATACATATCTTGTTGCGGCGGGCCTTCGGCACGTTGGCTCCGCCTCACAGGATCTTCCGGGTAACGCATTGGAGGGCCAGGATTCGTGGTATACGGAGCTTGTCTCGAGCTGTGCGCATTACGCTGCTCTTGTTGCAGCGGTTCCAAGCCATGCTGTGTCTGTTGTGGAGCAGTTGTACCAAGCTGGGTCTGCCGCGCAGGGTCCATAGCGAGCCGGCTCCGCTGCGAAGGATTTCGATCAGACACTCGCTCGGGCCTCTGGTTTTGCCGTGCAAACGGCACATCATCTGGATGTTCCCGAGGGGGCCGACGACTGCCAAATGACGAAGGCGCGGGCCGCTGCGCTGTCGACTCTGTCCGATCGCTCATCTCGTATGGAGCTCGAAGAGGGACCGTGTTCCTCAGGTCCAACTCCCACGGCTTGATCTTTTCCCAATCTATCTTGTTGCACTCCAAAAGCCGGCGCTTGATCACTTGGAACTTCTTATATTCCAAGTCGGTGGCGAAGAACTCTCGACGGTCCCAGCCTTGTACCATCTCCCGTATGTCTGCAAGCACAGCTACCGATTTCCTCATGTTCTCTTTTAGATTTCCGCGCATGTATGGCTTGACGTTCCTTTGCTTCAAGATCTCGACATCCAAACTGTATCGATACCGAATCCTCTCCCTTAGCTCCCGTATGTTTTCGGCCGTCACGAGTCGAGTTGGGTCTGGTGTTCGCTGAGGTATTTGACGACTAGGACGCTGTTCAGTAAAAGGTAGTGGAGGGGTGTCTACTTCTTCGTTGAGTGGTGCCAGTGGCGCCCCGACCTGCGAAGTAGACGTTCTTTTCATTTGCCAAAGGCTCTTAGTTTTCTTCAAGAGGCCCATGGCTATAGGCGGCAAAGGATTTCGACTCGGTCTGCAGCGGTAAAAGCTGAACTTCTGTTACCAACAAGTAAGACACGGAAAGAGGCAAGAGATGGGGAAGTGAGCTGGTCCTTCGGGGGCGAAAGAAAGAGTGAGGCTACCAAAGCCACAAGGCTGCCCGATCGAGATACGGCTTCTCAACGCACACATGCTGTTCGTGTTCTTTAGCAGCTGCATGCGCATGCCAAGAGGTTTAGCAAGAAGGCTGTAGCTGCTCAGGAATTAACGCTTACAATCTTTTGAGTCCAGCCTTGGAGGCCGCTACACCACCTTCGCCTCGATCCTTGTAAGATGCTGCAGGTGCAGATGGCCAATGCTTCTGCGGTGGCTGGTCACTCAGCCGTTCCGACAATATGCCCGGTTAAGCGCCGTGGGAAGTCTGCCTTCCTCAGCCTCTAGCGATACAGTTTTGCTATCGAACTGGCGTCCAATCACGCCGAGGGCATTATATCAACAGACAGGCCTTGGATCCAAAGCTGTGTAAATCATCGTTTGCACCGCGAGGCTGCATTGAGAATCACGAGCCCAGAAGCAACTACAACGGCTTTCGAAACGCCAACCATTCATTCATTCTTCGAGTTGGATGCAAAAATGTTGGACTGTTTATCGACTATCGAACAGAATAAGATACTTTCGCGGCCTGGCAGCCCGGAATCATCTCTCCGTTAGTGAGGTGCTCGCCTTTCGAATTCCCATACCGCTTCAACTCCGGGCTAAGAACTAACGTGAGAGCGCGCTCTCTCAGCTTGGGCAGTGAAAGCAGATCTCCACTTCCTTCGGGTAAGCTCGCAATCAACCTATAAGGCTGCGAACAGAATTCTATCCAGGTCTTTGCACACAGTCTCACGAGACTTTCCAGCATGTTGGCCTGCCTGTTTTGGAGTGTAGCTACCTTCCCTAGAGCATGGTGTAGAGTGTCGAGTAACTCCGAAATGGATCTTTCGTAGCCGTTTTTGAGCCGCAGATCGTCTCCTGAAGGCCGAGTAGATGGTTCCATACACGCTAAGAACAGCTTGGCCGTCTCGTACCGTCTTTTCTCGGTTTCTTCTGGTATCTCGGGCCACTCGAGACTGGAAGTGTCTTGCAGCCTATTAGTCCAAATGTGTGGGATAGCGACAATCCAGGACTTACTGGGTGTATGGATTTCTACCCACTCACGGTCCAGGACTTCTCCTTCCGACCCCAGGATTTTGAAAGGACTGGCGAAAATCCGATCATGCAGTAGGACCCAGACAGTGTTTTGGACAATCTGCTTCTTGAGTTTTCGCGTGTTTTGACGGTGGATGTCGAGCAGCTGGTGTTCGCTGAAAGGCCAGTCTGAGGTACGAGTACTGTCCCAATCTACGTTTGCGAAGTCTTGCACTTGACCTGCGATACTGCGGAACAAATTGCCTACATCACGGTCTTTCAGGCCTCTGAAATGCTGCCGCTGAAATAACCCCTGTTTCAGCTCTTCGTTCACGGTACGAAGCTGCAATGTTTCGTGCGTATGCTTGTGGGTCAGTTGGGCTTCCTGCCTTTTGAGCTCCTTCTCACGTCGCTTTTGTTCTTCTTGAAGTTTCTCTTGCTCCGTTTGTAGTTGTTCGCGCAATCGCTGTTCTTCGTGTTCCGCGTCAATCTTCAACTGAGCAATGTTCGACTGATACGTTTTCACAGATCCCTCATGTCTCTCCATCTCTTGTCGCATTTGCTCGCTATGTTTCTCCGACTCGGTTGCCATCTGCTCGTTAAAGCTCGCCTCTAGTTTTGTAATGCGAGTTTCGTAGGTGTCTTTCACTTCCCGTAAATAGGCATCCCATTTCCAGTGTTCCTCAGCTAGCTGCTGTTTAAGACTGCTGATCTCCTGCTCGTGTCGCTTCTTCTCCTCATGTCGAGCTGTACGTGACTGTTCTTCGTAGCATGCCTTGTTTCGTGTCACTTCGCTGTTCATTCTTTGTGTCTCATTACGCATCTGGCTGTCGTGTTGATACTTCAACTTTTCCATCTCTCTTTCCCAGTCACGTTTTTCTTGAGCAAATCTCACATTTCCCTCCCCTAACATGCTCTGAGCTTTCAACATCTGTTGTTGACTATTATTGGCCTCAGTCCTCGCCTTCTCCGCATCCGTTTTACTGGCTCGAAGGTCATTTCTCAATTTGTGTACTTCGGTCTTCAAGCCTTCTACGAACTCAGCGTCTGTGCGATATTGATCCAGTGAACGGTGAGCTGCGTCAAGCGAATGTGAAAGCTCACGGTACTCATGTAGAACTCTTGTGACTGCCTCTTCAACTGGTTCTTCGGCTCGTGGCAGAAGATTTGGAAACTCGTTCCCAGCTCTAAATAGAAGGTTTTGAATTGTTGGAGCACCGCGTGCGTCAGCCGAGTGCTGTTATTCGTATGTTAGTCTCAAAACTGTCATAAAACTGTGGGTACAATCGACATACGTATTGTCTTTGTGCGCCGAATGAAATCGCGTCCTGTCGGAATGTCGTTTCTGTTGAATGGCCGTATGGGTCTACAAATGAGACCTCACTCTGAGCGATTCTCGGGTGAGGAGGTGAAGGGCCTGTCGCAAACGCATGCATAGGTCCTGCTAGAGACTGAGCACGATCTCCATTACTGGCGTCATGTGTCGAAGGGAAGCCGGGCGATGATTGGGGAGCATGTGAATGGTTCTGCACATAGTGATGCTGTCGTACATCTTCTGGGGCTGTCGTTTGAGGCCGAGTGGATGTGCTGTGTGAAGATTGAGTTGTTGGTTCAATCTTCGAGCCGTTCTGCCTCTCGCGCCCTTGTTCGTATGCGGCTTTAAAGCCATGTGCAACGGCCTCCAGAAAACCCAACTTAGGTTTTGTAGATCCTCCCATTGCAGCAGCGGGTCGCTGCTGTTGACTAGACAGATATTCCGATGGAGAAGGTGTAGCTGTTTTCGGTTGCCGAATCCCTCCGCTTCGGGAGCTCTTGAACACATTCAATGACCTTTCCGACCTAGGCACATGGACACGTCTTTACTGGATGGAATGACTTCAGTCAGCCTTGGGCTGTTGCATGCGCCTAATCGATCCGACTATATTCCATGAGAGCAGAACCATACTCATGGGCATTGAGGACCAGTAATGGTGACCAAGGCACTAGGCGTGTCAATCATGACATTGCATGCCGTGTGTCAAGGCTGCCGCCCTCAAACTGCAGCGGCGACTTGTGATAAGCAGCCCAGCGCATACTCGCCTTGGCTTGCTTGGAGCTGAACATCCGCAGAGTGGCCCAACGTTGCTTCTCGCGCCACACCAATACGTGCGACAAGGCTATCTCCCAGCCTTGCGCCTCCGTGCATATCTCGAATACGAACCGAGAGCTCATTGGCAAACGACAACCAATTATGGAACTGCCCACTCTTCGTCCGCTTAATTTGCCTATTTCCGGCGCTTGCATGAGATCTAGTCTCCAGAGCGCGAGGTGGTGTTGTCTGACTGCGTAGCGTCCTCCGAATCAACTTGCCCACCTGCCTCGCACGCCTACGTAGCTTATGCGCACGCTTCACTTGTGCCGTAATTCTCGGGTGCCGCAGCCCGCGAAAATTAGTGACTAAGATGTATAGTGGTCGCTATGCCCAAACTATCGTGAGGCCAGATTGGTCGTTCCCGAATAGTGCTCCGAGACAGGCATTTCGACATGGACGACAGCGAACCTGGGTATCACTCTGAGCATACGTCCTTCGTGTCCTCTCGCACAGACCACGAATACATACCCAGAACAGACAATCTGGAAGGGAGAACGAATGAAGATGTGCAAGAAACGCGACTAGTAATTGGTCTGGATTATGGCACTACATATACCGGTGCGCGCTACTTAGATCGGCGTTCTTTGCTACCAGACTGACATCAAGATTAGGTGTAGCTTATGCTACGCCATCTGGGAATAACTGCTTGCTTGAGGACATTGACGTGATGGTGGAATGGGGTATGTCATGTTTGCTCCCGCAAATTGCCTTCACTGATTGGTATAAGGTGCGACCGTGGACGAAAAAGTGCCAAGTGTCATTTCATATTCGCGCCCCAACTACGAGTGGGGTGGTGCTTTGAGTGACGATTCAATCTCAATGGTTCATACTAAACTTGAGCTCGGTCTACAGAGTCGCCTGGGGGAGCTGGACATGACGCTCCAAATCCTGGATGGAATGTCTAACCTCAATATCGACGAGATGTTGCGCACGATACGAAGTCACGACGATGTACCTGCCTACTCACACAAAAGCCCGGAAGAGATAGTCACCGACTATTTACAAAAGGTATTCCAACATCTAGAGATGGAAGTCGACCAGTTTGGCCCAATCGCAAGAAAGCATACAAAGACTGATCTTGTAGTTACTGTACCTACGGTAAGCAACACGAATTACGTCATACGGTAGAGCTGACTTTCGCGAGGACTGGTCCTATATGGCGATGAACTCAACATATCGAGCAATGATGAAAGCGGGGTTCAACCGGATGAACTTCCCAAGATTACATGACATCATGTTCATCACAGAACCTGAGGCTGCTGCAGTCTATACTGCGCGCCATTACCGAGACGAGTTGTCCCAAACAACTTTGCAGGTATGTTGGATACTTGTGGAAAGACCACTGTTTCTGGAAAGCTAAAGAATTGAAGGAGGGCCAGTACTTCATACTCTGTGATGCTGGGGGCGGCACAGTGGTAAGTATCGAATTGGAGTTGTTATTTCTAGAGCGGGTAGGCTTATCGCTGTATTTAGGACGTGGTTTCATACCAGGTCAAGCGTTTGGAACCAGCGCTTGAGTTGGAGCCCATTGGGAGTCCGACTGGTAAGCCGAGTTCACGCCTAGCGAGTGTCATTAACCAGGCATAGGTGACAAATGCGGGTCGATCTTCATCAACATGAAGTTCAAAAGATGGCTTCGAGAAACACTCACGGATGTTCACTACAAAGAGCTTGACCCCACTTTTGATATCGACAAGACTGCGACCCATGCCTCAGAAACCCCAGCTATGCGATCACTCATGAAAGACTTCGATTTGAAGAAGAAACATTTCACGGCCGGGTCGTCTGACTGCCAGCTAGAGCTTCCATCTCCGTTGGAAAATCTGATCATACAAGGTCGCGTGAATCAGGGTCTTCTCACGATCAAGAGGTGAGGGTACATGAAGGAATCCTTTTTCGAGCAATATTGACAACCTTAGGCATGAGATGGAGTCATTCTTTGACGCATCGATTGAGCGAATCGTCATACTGATCAAGAACCATATCAAGAGGATTCGAGAGCAGCGCCATAACCGTCCAAAGGTAAGAGATCATGCTTTCCATCACAGTACAAGCCTCTGACATCAACAGAATTTGTTTCTGGTAGGAGGATACGGCGAATCGGAGTATCTTCAAGCTCAGATCCAGGAGATGCTACTACACGAAAGACTGATCATGCAGTACTGGAGACCCCAAAAGTCTTGGACAGCAGTCGTTCGTGGTGCAGTGGTTTGTGGTATCGAGAAGAACTTGACCAGAAGCCTAAAGCGGACGAGCTCTTGCCGAAACAGCTATGCAATATGTTTGGATGAAAGCTACACCTCAACCTATCATGGAAATCAAGAAGAGGTCATCGAACATGGCGGAGGCATTTTCGCTAAAGGACAACTCACGTGGCTGCTGAACAAAGGCGACCTGGTTATGTTAGACGACTCAACGAAGCGGTCCAAAACGGTTCACATCCGGCTCTCGAAACAGCGAAAGGACATGATGACTTTGAAGATTTGGCGATACATAAGCGACGAGGAACACCGCCCCACACGTCTCGAAGACGCCACTGACGGTAAGTAGTGACTGTGGCTGAAAGATCTCGGAGCTAATGTGTGACAGAACTGCAAAATGCGGGAGAACTTGGCATTGACCTGAGCGAAATTGAATTTGAACGTGTGCGCCAGAGGCTTGGGAAGCCCACATACTTCCAGGCTGATTTGGAGTTGGTACTGAACCTAGAGTGGGATAAACTATGGGCGACTTTGTGGTGGAAAGAAAAAGAACTAACAAGTATACCAGTACTATACTAGCGAATGAACGTTGTCTCTCTGGAAAGGTGTATTTGAACTTTGACAAAGTGTGTGACGACTTTCGCAGCCACCACAAGTGATTCGGGCTATGCACTCTTTGGCCGCAGCCTACTCAGCCCACTCCTTGGTACAGTAGCGCCGCATGAGCCATACAGAAGGCTGCATCTGCTATGCAGATGCCCAGCCTGATACCGATGCACGGAGCTGAAGAGCGAGAAGGGAACGAGGCAGACGCATGGCGTTCTTGGCAAGCGCCCGCCCTACTTGCGAAGCACGCCCACTACCAAGCATAGCCCGATCGCAGTGTGGTGGCTTATTGTAGAATGAAGGAGCCTAGCTAGGCATCTAAGCAAGTAGAGCCGCAGCCTCAAAGCCATATCAAGAAGGCGACAAGGTTCTCTCTTCGTGCTCATTATCCACATCTCCTCATCTCACAATGACAGACCTCATCAATCTGTCAGCAAGATACGTCATCAAAACTGATCAGTTCGGGTCAGAAAACGCGCTCGCATCGACTCCAAACAATGACACTCTCGTTTTAGAGTTCATCTCAAATGATACGACTCAGAGTCAGCTATGGTACTTCGAAGAGACCGAACTTGACGACTACTACCGCCTGCACACCGAAGACAAAGGCAACGGCAACTCTCTCAGCACGTATAATTACGAAGGAAGCCAGACCACAGATTTGCGTTTCCGCGCCAACGAAAACATAGACGCACAGTACTGGCGACTGGAAGTACAAGGCGACGGAAGTGTCAAAGTCAGCAATAGCCGCGCCGGCTCGGAGAGTTATCTCGATATCGAAGATGGGAGCTTGAAGCCATTCCTTGCACAAGGAGAGTCGGGCAATGGGGAATGGACACTTAGCACTTTTGGCGCTGCTGCGGCTACATCCACCCCTACCGTCTCCACCTCCTCTGATGTTACGACCACACCGGCTGCAACACCGTCTTGCACGTCAGAATGCTCGGCAGCTACGGATGTTACTACCACCGATGGTTCAAAGTCTTCCGCGCTGAATAAGGGAGCAATAATAGGCATCGCGGTCGGTGGTGCAGCAGGGCTTTTGGCAATTATAGGAATTGCGGTTTGGCTGTGGAGGCGACGAAGGCGAGGACCGTCTCGTCCACGGAGCGTTCCCATGAGACAAGGCCACATACTTGATTGAGGCTGACGAAAAGGAGAATTGGGTGTGATCATTTAGCGTACTTTGCGATGCATAAGAGTCGTCCAGCTTGAGCACAATACACCTTTGATAGCATCTATGCATTTGATATCTATATCGGTAGATCGCCAGCACCACATCTAGCCATGGCGTGATACTGTTTCATGTCTACCCTCGTCGCAAGTTCCCACCATGGTATAAAAAGAAGGATCATACAAGCTACGAAGCAAAAGAAGAAAAGCGCGGTCCCAAATCGTCCGCCGATAAAGCCGACCTCGCGTCCATGTCAGATAGAATACATAATCCGGTGGGAAATCCCACCGAGAACCGCAAGACAGCAGAACCTGTTGAAAGCGCAAATTATACCGTAGTCCCGCTAACCCAATGCTAGAAAAACGTGAAAAACGTGCAAAGAAAACATTGTACACAAATCGTGAATGGAATGAACGCAATTACAGCTGGTATGCTGGTCTCATCCCAAGGTTTTCTAATCAATGGTAATGACGTCGTTTTTGGACTGCCCCGGACGACCTCCTGGACCGCCTCTGCTTTGCTGTTGTTGCTGACGGCCGTTTGGCATCTGCTGTTGCGTGGGTCTGCCATTCGGAGGTTGGCTTCTCGGATGTTGTTGCATGTTCGGGTGCTGTTTCCCAGCTTGCGCCTGAGCCTGTCTTTGTTGCTGCTGACGCGCTTGCTGCTGTTGTTGTTGCATCCTAGCCTGCTGCTGCTGGTTTCCCTGCTGGTTTCCGTTCGCCTGTGCAGGCGCCTGTCCTGGACCAGATCCCTGGTTCTGCGCTTGCTGCGGTGGCTTTTCAAGTGGTGGCGGTGCAACATAACCTCCTGCCATTTTACAACTCAAAACACACTCGTCCAGCTTGAGTAGTGCTTCAGGGACCGCGTCCAAGGCCGCCACCATGCCGGTTCGGGTACCAAACCATCCTGGGCCCTTCCCGCTGAAGAGTTCCTTCAGCTTGGCCTGTAGGCTGTCGAGACGCCTATGACCAGGCGTACGCTCGGGAGTTGGTAGATTTGTGACTTGGTTTGGAGGATCTTTTGGACGCAAGTTGTCTTCGACAAACCAGTACACCTGGTCATCTTTGGGCTGAAGGCGCACGTCAAAAGTGCAGACCGGATTGTCATAGGTGAGTCGGTATTTGAGGACGGAGTGAACATGGATTGCGGGGTTACTGTAGTTGCCTGGCGATCGTTCCTCGACTTCGCGCAGGGCCTTGAAGAGGGGCCGGGTCGCGACGAGAGTCGTACAGAAGCGATCCAGGCCATCGACATCGCTGACCTCCGTGGTTGGGAAGGAAGGCAACCGATCGTTGGCGATCTCAGTAAGCAGATGGAGAATCCGATGGTGCGGATTGTCATGTGACAGCTCGATGGTGAGCTCCTTTTCAGCGCCAAAGTTGACAGTTGCAGAGTATGGCGATGGACCGTACTGGAACTGTACGCGCTGTAAGGAGGAGGACGAAAGCCGCATTTGACGCTTCTGAAGGGTACTGGCAAAGGTACGAAGACGGTTAACGTCTCGCAATCGTGCTCGCAGCTCTCCCAGGATATCTTGCCCAAAGGGTGTGGCAAGAAGAATCCTGAAGTTGCCATCTTCTGAGAATTTGAAGGCGGTCTGTGGTGAAGCTGCCATGAGCTTATGCATGTCTGCAGCAACAGACTTGACCATTCTACCGACAGCCATATGCCAAACATCCTGACCCCCAACTTTCAAACCTTCACATGTAATCTTGATGTCTGATTCAAGCCAGGAGTCTTCCTCTGCTTGGGGCACAAGAAGGTCCGGAGTTTGCACATGCAGCACCCATCGACGGGGAACACAACCAGCTTCCATGGATGAGCCTGCTTGCCCTAACTCAGGTCGCAAACTGAAATTCTTCTTCTCCTTTTCTAGTTGGCGAGCTGTGATGCGGAACGACAGAAGCTGCACAGCGACCCTCTCCAGACTTGCCAAGGTGTTGCGATTGATGGGTAAGGAGCTTCCATCAGGCCTGTCCAACTTGATCTGCTCGGCGTATTCGAGGCTATTTCCACCAGATCCGATTTCAAAGATCCACCACGATTCACCTGAAGAGTCGATTACCGCTGCCAATGCCCAGTTTGGTGTCCAGCCGCGAGGGCAATATAGCGTGGAAGAGATGACATCCAATTTGACAGCAGCCGACACTACCTGCTGTTTCAAAGCCTGTCTTGCGACCGATTGCCAGCCGAGTTGTTGTGCGTTCTTCTGGATCAGACTGAGCAATGTGCCGGCTAGCACTTGCGTCATTACATGAGCAATCTGTGATGGCTCTCTGCCTTGGTTGAAAGCATTCTCCGCTCGCGCTGACAGTGCGCTAGCTGGTCGCAGGATGTAGTTACCAGTGACCGACTCTAGTGATAGGGTAACTGATGTAGATTTCGTACCCAGCGATGCGTTGAGTGTAGAGTCTGCAGGTTCGGTCTCGGAAAGATGTGCGTTCGCCGTCACTCCAGACTTAAAACTCTCCTTTGTGGATCGCAAGATATCACTCGTGTGGCGTGCGATGACTTGCTTGATAACGCGTTCCGTGGAGAGATCCTTCCAGTCAAAATGGAACTTGACATCCTTCACTTCTTTGCCCCGGCGGAACCAGCGCGTAGTCAGCGACGGTATGGGTGGACCTCTCCACGAAACCTTGCCGTTCTTTGGTTTGTTGTTCGATACGCCAATCTCAATCCAATTCTTTTTTCCAGGCTTATCAGTCCAATAAGACACGACGAGCAAGCGATGCACAGGCTCAACCTTGAGAGATCCAGCCCAGCCGCTGCGAACGAGATTAACAGCCTGTGATCGAAGCACTGAGATCTTGTGCGTTAGAACGAAGTTGTTCAGGAAGTCGAAAAGGCCGGTCAGGCCCTTCTCCTTCAGAACTACGTCGGCCTGCAGCTTGAGTTGCATGAAGAAACGGCTACCGACGGTGATGGTCGGTGCAGGAGTGAACAACAACCGGAGATCGATGAGAAACCACTGTTCTGAAGCATCCTCTACAAAGGACATGACGTCGAATTCCAGCTCGTTGGCAATAACAAAAGTTGCGCGTCCAGAATGCACGCGCCAGTCTTGGAGGTGTCGTGGGAGGCTTTCGTGTACGTTGAGGCGTATGGAGAGAGAGGTGTTCATGTACCGAAGGAGTTTGAGGGCCTGCTCAGCAGAGATAGGCTCAGGCGGTATGTAGCCCAGGCTCGGCATCCATGACGCTTTCCCTGTCGATAGCACTTCCAGGGCGGTCGCAACGTCCGGGTTGTTTTCTCTGGCATTGTTGGACAGAATCTTAATCTTTTCCAGTTTGTAGTCAGCAGCATCCATATGCGCTGCCTGGGTACTCGCGTGGGCCAGCAAATCAATGAGTTTTGATATGTCAATGGAAGCTTTCTTTCCCCACTCGGTGAGGACTAGCAGCTTGATGAATTTAGCCCGTTGCTCCTGCGCGAATTGAAGCACAACCAGCTTTTTACGCTTGTTCGCCTCTGCATTCACTTGTGCATTTGCCGCGCCAAGGCCATTGGGAAGAGCGCCGTTTGACACTGGCGCTATCTGAATGGCGGCCATGTTCTTCAGGACTTCCTCCAGTTCATTGTAAGATTCCTGCGATATCCGCAACAACAGTGTTGACAGGGACATGTACTGCTCGGGGCCGATATGAGCAATCTCCGGGGGCAGATCCGAGTATTGTTCGAGCGTGGGACCGGCCGTTGCTGCGACTGCCATGGATGCGCCGTTGGTGCTGGTTTCGCGCGAAGGACCCCCATTGACAGCAGGTCCCCCTGCCGGTGTATCACTTCGCGCGCCGTTGAG